CGATGCAAAAATACTAAGGCTCCCTGTAATGGTGGATAGAAGGCCGAAATTGCTGCTAAGTGAACCTTGATTGAATTAATGGACAATCCCGATTGCTTCCAAGACAGTAAACAGTCTAGAATCATAAGTGTAGAAACTTGTAACGGAGCATAGTCATGTGAGGATGACCAGATGGAAAAATACTTCCATTTGGCCATGCAGTTCTCCTAGTGAAGGGTTTTCTACTCTGTAACAAAAGATCTTGAATTTCCAATGAACAGCTACAATGACGTCCACATAGCATCCAAACCATCCAAGCAGGGTCTGGGTGAAGAATTATGCTGGAACTCTGGGAGATTATGTCTGCCTGGCTAGGTAGAGTTATGAATTGCTGGCTGGACAGAAGCAATAGGTCTGAGTACCAGACCTGGTGAGGCCAGGCTGGAGCTACTAGGATGATCCGAGCATTGTTTTGTCTCACTTTCTATAACACTCTGAGAATGAAAATGCAAGATGGAAAAGCGTAGATTAGGTGATTTGAGCATGGAATCATGAAAGCATTTGCTATGTAGGCCAGGCTTTTCATTTCTTGTCCCTTTTGGAGGTGAACATGTCCACTTGGGGAATTCCCATCCTCAGAAGACCTATCCCACATAAAGGAGAGTGCTTAAAACCTGGTGAGGGCATAGCACCAGGTAATACAGTAAACAGTAACTAACTACTGAACTAACTAAATAAGTGCAGTGGTACTACTCATTAACTATTTACAAAAGCTAACAGACAATCTCATTGCTGTCATCAGTAATCATGCAGTAGAACCCCAATGAAAGCTCTGACTCAGATTGTGGGTGGTGAGAGGGAAGTGACAGGGATTGGGGCAATGTCTTGGGAGAGGCTACAAGGGCCAGAGGGCACAATCGCCACCCCAATGGGTGCTGCTAAGCAAAGCTCTCCAGATTTGCCACACTGGGCACACGCACATCTGAGTGGAGTGCACATCTGCAATCGCTCAAAGAACCATGAAGCTCTCCTCATTGTCACTCCATTGATCTCACTCAATTGTTATCACTGATCTCACTCCCATGTCTACAGCATCAAAACAGCTTGTGAGAAAGTCCTAGTAACTAACTGACCTGCTGTACAAATGGAGCTGAACACCTCTTTACGGTTCTCTGGTGTAATCCCACTGCAAATAAATCCTTTCTGGCCAACATGGCCTAATCATGCTCTATCCTGACCTGCAGGTTAGCAAAGGAGTAGATTTTTCTCTTCCAACTACCCAATTTTTTGCTTTTTTATTCTCCAGCCTATATTTCACTGACTACTTGGATCTTTAATTGGCTGCAGTTACTACTAAGGACGACAGCAAGTAAAAATGCAAAAATTAAAAACCCTTTGATGTAACTTCATGTCTCAAATTCACATGTCTTGATGTGGCAGAGATTGAAGCTAGAATAGCCCACAGATCTAAAATCCCCTCCTGGATCGGCAATACTGCCATACTCTGGTATGTAGGCTTCAAAATAGAAAATAGTTTATATACCTTTTCTTGTGCCATATCCAGAGGAACCTAGAAGGTTCCAGCCACCCTCTTAAGCAACCCCTGAAATGCGTTAAAGTCATCTACGGTAGCAGGGACAGGAGGAGTCATTGCCTCATCTGATGAGAATGATGAAAAAAGAGGAGGTGCGGATGGATCTATCTGATGGCTCTATGTCATCTTCTTCATTCACCTGCTGCTGCTCTTCCTGAATAATTTCCCCTGCAGGTGAGTGAGAGACTTTGGAGACAGGTTTAGGAGATTTGTCTCTGGACCTTGGAATAGGTAATGGAAATTGACCCTGAAAATGAAACTAATACGACCAAATAGTGAGGTCTGGAATCCATACAGACATGACATATCAGGCCAAGAAGGACGCACCCAAGGAGCATGGGGAGGCTGAGGAACATGACCGCTGTATGAAAAATAGCAAGAATACTTCCTATGCTGTTTTATATCCCTGGATTGGCCCACAGAGAATTGAGCCAGGCTGGGGGAAGGTTTTCTACTGCAAATAGGAGACAAAGAGGAAGACAAGAAAACTTCCAGAGGAGGAGATACACTTGGGGGATCCCAACTCCTGAGGTGAACTCATTGACCTTCCTGTAAACTGACAGAGAAAAAAAAAAAAAAGAAAGAAAAACTGGTACCTGTGGCCCTGGTGGTGAAAAGGATTCACAGACAGTAATTAAAAGGTAACATCTACCAGAGGAGACTTCAGTTCCAGAGTCACTCGCGACACTGCCTAGGTAGTAATGATATTTCAATAGGTGTTGCAGGTACAGGATGTCTGAACACCATGGAAATCTGGGACAGTGCTGAATGAGCCAGTGACTGGTGAGTGTGTCATCACTGACTGAGCCCATGCTAAATGAATCTATACCAAGTGAGCTCGCAGTGAGCGTGCTGGCATTCAAAGAGTTGGTGTCAAAAGAGCTCTCAGTGCTGCAGATCTAGCTGGAGAGGCCAAAGTCATAGGTACCGCAAACAGATCAGTGGGTGCCTTCTTAGCTCAGCGTTGTGCCGGTGTTGATTCCAGTTACTTCTGCAGGGCCAACTGCATTGTGCCGATTTAGCCATGTCCATAGACCATTGGCTCTGTGGTTTCCTTTTGTTTGGTACCAGAGAAGGAAAACAGTGCCAAGAGGCAAAATTAGAGGTAATCTCCTTTCTCTTGCGGATAGCACAGACCACGGAATGTTGCAACAGTGTTTGTGGTGCCATTTACAAGCTCTTGGAGGACCAGTGAGCTCTCTTTGACCCCTTCAATCCAGGAGCAGTAATAGTGGCTGAATACTAGCTGCATGAGTTTTCAGGGAAGTATCTAATCTTGAACTTCTTCCTTTTGAGCCACTTCTGAATCTGATCATGCCCACAGATTATTCCAGGCAGTAAAGTTTTAGCCAAGATTCCCTGGCCTTTTGTGTGTATTTTTTTGAATGTGTTAGAAATTGCACACTTAGAGGGAATATGACTCTCTCCTAAGGAGTACGTTAGTCATTAAGGGGAATTACCTCTCCAACATGAAGGACAAGTCTTGAAATGTGGAAATATGGGTTCAGGCACCAGGTATCCTAACTACTAAATTATATCTATAGAAAATAATTTTTTTGCTAGTTGGCTCAAAATGAAACACCATGAAACAAACTAGTAACTACAGAAAGTACAGTGAACTATGTACCTACAAACTAACTCTTATGGGAGACTGAGGTTGTTCTGAGTCTCTGCCAAGGGGTGCTCAGAGTGGTGGCTGGAGTGGCCCTTTCTGCCATTGGGAGGGAAGGACAAGGGTGCGCAGGACATTGCCTGTGAATATATTCCATAATCCTGTGCAAGCGGCGCATGCGCACCACGAGTGGGATACAGACAGACGGACACTGGAAGAAGAAATTAGGATTTTGTCTCAGATAAAGAAAGAACAGGGGTAGACCTCAGCAACATGAGGGGCTATAAATCTTTATCTGACTCAGCTGCGCTTATGGGGAAAGCCAGGAAATGGATATTTTATATGCTGATCCCAATACCTGTACAACTTTGGCTATAGCCTACAGATTTCTTATCTCACCAGAAGCTCAGTAGACTAAGAGAGCTATTAACCCAAGGGCTGGAACGCTGCTCCCTATTAGAATCCCAGACTTTTGTTTACTGACAAGGCTCTGAAGTGTTTGGAGAATAACTCAGAAGCTGCTATTCTGCCCAAGGTCTGAAGAATCCAGATGCCACACACTGCATATGATGGCCATTAGACAGAAACTGAGAAATTATTTCTGAAAGAAGATCAGAGGGGATGTCATTATGCGTGTGTGCTAAAGTATGCAAGTTCTGTTGAAACCTTATATTGAAATATATTTAACAGCAGCTAAGTGGTGAAAGTCTGTCTAAGGAAGACTGGTGGATTTACTAAATAATAGCTTTCAGATAAAAGCTATTAAACATTCCAAATACTGATTAAAATGTTTAAAATGTGTATGAAGTGTTTACTAAGAAGTTGTGTTGCCAGGGCCGGCTCCAGGCACCAGAGGAGGAAGCAGGTGCCTGGGGCGGCCAATAGAAAGGGGCGGCAGTCCCTGCATTATTGGGGCGGTGCGTCTGGGCCTTCGGCGGCAAGTCCTTCATTCCCTCTCTTCCTCTTCGGCGGCAGCTCAATCGGGTTTTTCTTTTCTTTTTTTCTTCGCCGCGTGGGGTGGCAAAAAAGCTGGAGCCAGCCCTCTGTGTTGCCCTTTCTCGTTGCAGCTGACAGGGAACTGTTATTAAAACCTATGTTCAGGGTTATGTATGTAACAGTCCATAAGGGTTAACTATGTAATGCTTTCTGAAAAGTCCTGAAGTGACAGAACTCTGACCTGTGTTTCAGCAAAGAGTTAAACTGAGGTGCAGGAAAGGGGAGGGTTATGGAGATGTACATAATATTTACCCCCAGCACCCATTACACAAAGGGTGCCCAAACAGGGTCTGCTACTTGTTACCTAAGCACACCACTTTGGTACTCCAGTCTCTGCAATGGACACATATTGAATACAACATCGAATTCAAGGTCTCTGTCCTGATATTCCCAGTTCTCCGTGAGACAGTCCTTAGCTACCTGACAAACTCCCTCTCCCACCGTGACTTTGGCTTTTCACAACAGCTACACTCCACTGGAAGCTGTTGATCACAAGGGACAGAACTTTTACATAAGCAGGACCAACACTGTGGAGCCCATTGCCAGCAAAGACAAACAATAACCAGGACGCTTGGCACATTGAGAACTAAATGTCAAGCTCGTTTCTGTGATTCAGCTTGCCCTCCGTAACTTCTTCACACAAGCAAACACACTAACCCACCCATCCACCCAAATTGTTATGGTATATTCATGTTTTCACTCCCACTGGCAAAAAAAAAAAAAAGAAAGATTTTTCTTACTCTTCTTTAGTACTTCTGAGGCACTCAGACACTACCATGATGGAGACCACATAAGTCAGATAAAAAAGCAGATAGATACCTCCAGGTAGGGGACAGGAGTGTCTGGATTCAGAGGGTATTCTCTCAGCAGTCTCTCCTCATCCAGGAACTTTCCAGCCCTGCCATTGAAGGCTGGCTGGAAAAGCCCATAGTTCAGAACATCCTTCAGGCTGTGGTTCAAGGTGCAGAGAATGCGCTGTTTAGAGACCCAGACAGGAACATCAGGATTTAGCCGCAGACATTTCTATGGAGAGAAAGAGAGTGATTAGGGGATGGCAACGCAGCATTTCTGTAATTCCATAACCACATCCAAGAACAACAGTGGTGAGACCATGGAACAAGCTTAGAACAGGAAATCTATAACCTTTTCCATGGCAGTGAGTAAGTAGAAATAGATAATCTGCAGAAATTAGGGAGGATAAGATTCATTAGGTCCCATCTTGTCTATCTCCTGTGATGCCAGGGCAGGATCATTCTCTACAATCTAATCTACAGGGTTTTATCCTCTCTGCAAATAAATGTTTCAAGTAATGGGATGTCTGGGAGAGTATTCCATGGCTTAATACCATACAATTCACTGTCAGGAAGTTTACTCCATTATTCATCTTAAACTGGATATCCAGAAATGGAAAGATCTCACACATATAAACAGAGACAAATGATTTTGCAAGGCTGGAGACTGCAAGCTCAATTAGGGACAATGAAGGAACCCAGGGAGGTCTTTAACCATTGGGAGGAGAGTCCTTGAAAAAGGAGGCAGAGCTCTACATAACATTTCTAGACACCATTTATGACTGCTTCTTGGAGCAGCTAGTCCTAGAACCCACAAGGGGAGAGGCAGTTCTTGATTTAGTCCCAAATGGCGCACAGGATCTGGTCCAGGAGATGAATATAGCTAAACTGCTCAGTAATAGAGACCATAACATAACTACATTTAACAACATCCTTGGAGGGGAGAAAATGCCAAAGAAACTCACCACAGCAGCTTTTATCTTCACAAAAAGGGGAACTACACAAATGAAGAGGCTTGTTAAATGGAAATTAAAAGTAACAGTCACAAGAGTGAAATGCCTGCAAACTACATGGAGATGATTTAAAAACACAAGGCTCAAACTAACTGTGAGGGGCCTTCCAGGGGTGCGGCCTGGACCTGGGGTACCACTGAGTCCTCTGTCCCTCCAACCTGGGCTCCCTCTCACCATGTGATGCCGTGACAAGCTGAAAACCTCTGGTAGGTCCTGCATTCACACAGACATCCCCAGGCAGGGACACACCCAGCTGAGTTACATGAATGCTTCTCCCAGCCACTCATGAACTAACAATAGAGAGGCTCCAGCCAATTCCCCCAGCTCCCCATCTTTGGTCCCCAGGGCTGTGATATCCTTCCCTGATCAGAAGCCTGACCAGCATACATTTATAACCCAGTCATCCCTCCCTCAATGTGGAGAGGAAATGCACCAGCTCTTATTCCTGAGCAGATTTCTCAAGCACTTCAACCAAAACACACTGTTTTAGGTAAACCATAAAACAGGTTTATTAACTACAGAAAGATAGATTTTAAGTGACTATAAGTGGTAGGCATAAAGGACAGAGATGGTTACCAAAGAAAATAAAAATAAGCGCACAATCTAAGCTGTATAAACTAAACAGGATTTGAATCAAGCAGTGCCTCATTCTGATAGTACAAGAAGGTTACAGATCTTCAGTACACAGGCTGAAATTCTTCTCCAACCCTGGACCACCTTCCCCCTTCCAGACGTGTTTCCAGGTGTTGAGTTGTGGGGAGAGTGAGGCCAAGCCATGCAGCCACTGTCCCCTCTTCTATATCCATAGTCCCTGTGCCTAGAAGACACTTGTCTTGGCAGGTCCTGGAGGGCTTCCCTGAGTTGCCCAGTTGAGCAATCCCCCCAGTGTGGGTGCTTCCACAACTGTCCTTGAATTGTAAATCCCCTGATTACAATTTCCCTGCTTGTTAATAGTCATTGAGTACCCTCTGCCTGAGGACCCTCCTTTGAGTGGTTTGCTTTCTTTGTATGCCACTAGCAAACTTACAACATATTTCAGTAACAACCACACAACAAAAATCTCATATCTTGATACACACTAATGATATACACATTTGGACAGAACAATGAGTTTCAGCAGATCATGACTTTTCATATGATCTCTTACACAGCATGCTTTGTATGAAACGTATCATAATTACACGCCAGGGGTGAATACGGGGTTCTGGGAGTGCCAGAACCCCAAATAAAAAAACAGTAAGAGGACCCCAAAAAATAAACCATGGCTAAACCGCAGAGTAAAAGAGGAAGCTGGAGGCAAACAGGCATCCTTTAAAAACTGGAAGTGAAACCCTACAAAGGAAAAGAGAAAGGAGCATAAACTCTGGCAAGTCAGGCGTAAAAGCATAATTAGGCAGGACAAAAAAAAAAATGAAAAGCAACCAGCAAAAGACACAAAAACTAACAGGAAATTTATTTTAAGTACATCAGAAGTGGGAAGCCTGCAAACAATCAGTGGGGCCACTGGACGATTGAGGTGATAGTGGAGCACTCAAGGAAAACAAGACCATTGCGGAGAAACTAAATGAATTCTTTGCATCAGTCTTCACTGCAGAGGATCGGAGGAAGAGTCCCACACCTGAGCCATTCTTTTTAGGTGACAAATCTGAGGAACTGTCCCAGATTCAGGTGTCAATGGGGGAGGTTTTGGAACAAACTGATAATTAAACAGTAATAAGTCACCAGGAGTAGATGGGATTGATCCAAGAGTTCTGAAGGAACTCACATATGAAATTGCAAAACAACTAATTGTGATATGTGACCTATTGCTTAAATCAGTCTCTTGTACCAGATGACTGGACAATAGCTAATGGAATGCAGATTTTTTTAAAAGGCTCCAGAGGCGATCCTGGCAATTACAGACCAGTAAGCGTAACTTCAGTACCAGGCAAATCTGTTGAAACTATAATAAAGAACAGAATTATCAGGCACATAGATTAACACAGTTTGATGGGAAAGAGTCAACATGGCTTTTGTAAAGATAAATCATGCCTCACCAATCTATAAGAATTCTCTGAGGGATTCAACAAACAGGTGGACATGGGCGATTCAGTCGATATAGTATACTAGGACTTTCAGAATGTCTTTGATAAGGTCCCTTACCAAAGGCTCTTAAGCAAAGTAGCCAGTCATGAGATAAGAGGGAAAATCCTCTCATGGATCAGTATGTGGTTAAAAGGCAGAAAACAAAGAGTAGGAATAAATGGTAGTTTACACAATGGAGAGAGGTAAATAATGAGGTTCCCCCATTGATCTATACTGGAATCAGTGCTGTTTAAGACATTCATAAAGGATTTGGAAAAAAGGGTAAACAGGTGGAAAAGTTTGCAGATGATACAAAATTACTCAAGATTGTAGTCTGCTTTGGACTTAGCTAAGAGTTACAAGGGGATTTCTCAAAACTGGGCAACTGGGCAAGAAATTGGCAGATGAATTTCAGTGTTGGTAACTGCAAAATAATGCACACAGGAAAACATAATCACAACCATACAGACAAAATGATGGGGTCTAAATTAGCACTCAAGAAAGAGATTTTAGAGTCATCATAGATAGTTCTTTGAAAACATCTACTCAATATACAGCAGCAGTCAAAAAAGCTAACAATGTTAGGAACCATTAGGAAATGGATAGATAATAAGACAGTAAATATCATAATGCCACTATATAAATCCATACTACACCCACATCTTGACTACTGCATGCAGTTCTGGTCACCCCATCTCAAAAAAGATAGAATTGGTGAAGGTACAGAGAAGGGCAATGAAAATGATTAGGGGTATGGAACAGCTTCCATATGAGGAGAGATTAAAAAGACTGTGACCAGTCAGCTTAGAAAAGAGATGACTAAGGGGAGGATAGCTCCGAGGATCCCGTATTTACTCATTCACCTAACCCAAGAACCAGGGGTCACCAAATAAAATTAACAGGCATTAAGTTTAAAACAAACATAAGAAAGTACTTTTTCACACAACACACAGCCAGCCTGTGGAACTCATTGCCAGGAAATGTTGTAAAGTCCAAAAGTATAACAGGGTTCAGAAAAGAATTAGATAAGAACACTGCATAACCTACTAAAACCAACTAAATACACACTACACTACTAGTTCTAACTTCTACTAACTACTTACACTACAAAAATTCATCAAGTAGCTGTGACACAGGAAACAAACTGTGAAGACAGAACCACGTGGGGAGATCAGACTTAGGCCACTGGCAGTAAGAAGGAACTGAGTGGGGGTGGGGCATTGTTGCCCATTTATAGCCTCTGAAAAGGCCACAAGGAGACGCAAGATATGTGCGCTGCCCTAGAGGATGCTGCTGCAGGAGGAAGGTCTCCAGCTCTCAGTGCATCTGACACAAACACCTCAGTGCAATACACATCTACACCACTGAAAGAAGAAATTTCATTTTAATTTTTTTCTGAAGCTGCCACACAATTTCCAGTCTGTTGCTCTGGACTACTGTAGAATCAAAGAGCCTGCCACAGAATGCAAGTCAAACTAGCTACAGAGTATGAAGGGGCTAGGTCATAATCAGGGATTCTAGTTTTCGGAGATTAAAAAAACAAAATTATCTGATTAAAAAAACATAAAAATCCATGTTTTTCCATGATTAAAATGAAACGCTCAACTTTAGTTTCCCTAGCCACAATACATATAAGTATTAGTTGAACACTATGTTTTATTGATATAAAGCAGAACCCCATTTATCCGAGCCTCCATTATCTGGATCTCCATATTAACCAAACCACCAGCCGCCTGGGACTCACAGCCCAACCCCTGCCATTGTCATCCCCAAGGGGCTGGTGGTTCAGTTAACATGGAGAGCCGGATCATGGAGGCTAGGATAAACAGGGTTCTGCTGTATATGTTTTTAGTTTTTCACAAAATGTAAAACCTAAAGATTCTCTGTAAAAATGCAAATTCCGCATTTTTCCATGGCAAACGGATTTCTAGGATCCCTGGTCATGATGCAGTGACATTGGTGGCAACTTCAAGCTAGTAACCTTGGACCCTAAACACAACAGTTAAAGAAAAGGAGTACTTGTGGTACCTTAGAGACTAACCAATTTATTTGAGCATAAGCTTTCGTGAGCTACAGCTCGCATCCGATGAAGTGAGCTGTAGCTCACGAAAGCTTATGCTCAAATAAATTGGTTAGTCTCTAAGGTGCCACAAGT